ATAACCAAGTAAGGCCACCGGAGGGCTGTTGGTCTGTTGCACGGTTTTCCCTAAAAATTGCTCACAAACTATAACACCATTAAAGTCGTTAATAAGACCAAAAGAAAAGGAAGCTTTTAAATGGACGTGTGTTAGCTTGATTTACAAAGCTTGACAGTATATCAAGTTTTGATTAAGTCGTTCTTTGAGTAGCTTAGGGATGTCACTTATTTTACTTGTTCTGAATATGCAGTGATATACAACCCATGGCTTCATTGTCACCACTAGGAATCACAGCCTAATATAAAAGGAGTTCTTAACCCAATAAAAAGGGCAAAATATTAGGAAAAAAAAAAAAGCAGAGGTAGTTGCTGGGATCTTCTGTCACCGTACTGCTGCCAGTCTTCCACCAGAGGGCGCCCGCAGCTCACCCCGCATGTTCACACACCTGCGGGTCATCAGCCTAGGAGCATAAGAGGAGCCGGCAGTCTGCACTTCAGCGCCAGAGTGTTGACCCTCGTGGTAACTCAAAGCCCTTAGAAATCCTTTGTATCTGTTTTCATGTATATTATCTGATTTACGTTCTTTCGCCCAAGGTTACCAAGATCACTGTTTTGACCCAGTCTTGGATTGTACGACCCAGCAGCCGGAAGTCTGCATACCTACAGGAGTTATTATGGAGTATTTAAGCCACTTTCACCCTACATAGCTGGACCCGGTACCGCCCGGTTCCCTGGAACCCAGAGAGCTGCGGTTCCAATCGGGCCGGCCAGACCGGGCCGGTTTGGAGTTAGCTGTTGATTGGTTGATTGGATGTGGGGGCGGGACAAAGACCAGATCTCTGGATCAGAGGAGCGCTAGACTTTCTCGATGGCTAACATTTCAATATGCTGCATCAATAAATTTCCGTCATATTCTGTTCTTGCCCTACACTGGGATTACATTCGCCTCTCCAGCCAAAGATTTTAACGTTAAATGTAAATAGCATTTCTCCAATGAACCGATCAGAAGTCGACCAGGCTGTGAACGAGGGGATTTCCGCATCTGGCGTCGCTCCAGCCGGGAAATCCCGCCTGGCCGCGAGTCCAGCTCAGAGACAACATTCAGATGAGATTTTTTTTTTTCTTTTTTCTTAAATGTAAAGCTGAGGTAAACGTTTCCCTCAGCTTCCTCGCTCATGAGCGCACAAAGAAAAAAAAAACACAGGAAAGAGACCAAAGAAGGAAACTGTTCTGTGGTCGCTGGGGAGATCGCCTCGGTAGCTTTAGCAACGGGTCGATTTACATGACATATCCTGCTGAATGCAAAATGACCAGGCCATAGCACCAATGGGACCGGGTCGAACCGAGCCGGTCCCTGCAATGTGAAAAGGGCTTTAGACTCGGCTGGCTAAAGATGGTTCTCCTCTCCTCCTCGGGGTTCGGGCCTGCCCCGCCCTCATCTGCGCCCCTCATCAGAACTAAGGGACGACCTGTCAAGTTGTGAGTAGTGCCTGTCGTGTCAGATCACTTCCAGGACTCTTCGATCCCCATCACCTCTCACTCGCGGAAATTCCCCAGCACTAGTAAACTCAGTTCACAAGTCCCAGTCCAAGTTTGCTCTTTATATTCACATTCCTGATCTGTCTCTCCAGAGCGCAGACCGTGTCGGTCCTGACCAGCTGCCATCAGCGGACCCTTCATCATACATTTAACATATTTTCCTGTAAATTAATCCTTTGAACTATTTAGTTTCCTGAGTGCATCCCTGCATGTGGGTCTGGAAAACTGCTAAAACTGTGACAGTAATATTCCTCCAATCTCCACCTCTGAGATTGAGCCTAGTAACTTCACCCTTGTGTGGAACGGTGGGGGTATATCAGACCCCGCTTGGCATAACGGCTATGCATTATGATGGTGGTGTTAGTTCATAACGACAAGGATCAAGTTGGCTTCCTCTGTTACAGCCAGGAACACAGAGGAGCTACCTAACTGTGTTCACTTGACTGCATGCCAGCATCTAGCTTGAACTCTGGTGTTTGTCTATTGTAAGGTGTAGGGCCAGACTTAGGAGGATGTAGGCCCCTGGGCTTGAGCCAAGATTGGGGGCCATACTTAATCATGGTTATACAGTTGCATATTAAACACGTGTTTAATATATATATATATATATACTCCCTGATTTCCTTCCCTTTGGGTGGTCAGCGTTGGTCGTGACTTGTGGAACCGATTCTATCCACCAACCTTATCTACCTACAAGAAAAAAAAATTAGCCACTGTCCACCATGAGAGGCTGATGGACGGCCCCGCCCACCAGGTCATCTCTCTATGCAAGGTTTACTTCAGTCAACCGATGGTTGCCAACTTAGTGACTTTTTTTGCTATATTTTGCACACATAGACACACACACAAAACATCAGCAAGTCAGGTTTTTTTAAAGATCAACAATCAGTCAGAAAATTGCAATCGGTGCAACCGCTGCTTTCTTTTTAAACTTTCAAAATGTCTGCAGAACAATTGATTACTGTAATCATTGTAAAGACCATTATTACAAACTAAATATATTTAGTAGTTAAAGAAGTACTTGAACATCTTGAATATTCAACAGAACTTCCCTAAGGAAGAAAAACTTGACAATGTTCTCTATCCATCCTCTATGTTCTGTAATTATTTATTATTAATTTCTATCTTTATGTCTCCCTCCCTCTTTCAATTTTTATCAACTATCTTTCTAATTATCAGGTTTATTTCCTTACCAAGCTCAGATAGTTAGGGTGAGTATTTCCACTCTGAGAGCCAAATCTGTCAAAACTTTTATTCAGTGATGACTGGATTTTTTGACTGGAAACACATAAGCTAATTTGTACAGTCAGCCCTTCGCCATATGAATAAGACAGTTCCTCCTGCCACTGCTAGCTGGAGGCTAAAGCTAGTTCAATCTGGAGAGACTCAGACGGAGAGAGGGAAGCAGTTAAAAGGGTTTAATGACAAAAATAACGTGAAAATAAACACAAAGTTCTTTGGCGATCAGGCCCCGGCCGGGGACGTCAAGCTGGACTTAAATAAGCTCGATGAACATTCCTGATGCAATGTAAACCCCCCGGGGCCTGTGCTGGTGGCGGCGGTCAGAGGATGATGAGGCCTGAGAGCCGGGAGCTGAAGGTGGAGGTGGGGTGGCGGTGGGTTGATCGGGGCTGGTAAGCGGAGGAGGCTGGGAGTGAAGGTCCTTTTGAACCTGAGCCTGGACGATGATTGGCTGGAGTGAGGCTTGGACCTGCGTTGATAGGTCCGGGTTGCGGAGAGGGAGGCACTGATTGCAGGGCCAGGTGCGCCAAAAGAGTCTTCCAGCCTGAACTTCAGTCAAGACTCCATTTCCACTTTTTTAACTTTGCATTGAGCAAGCAGAGCAGTTGCATTACTTTTCTGTGACTTTCACTGTTTTCTTGCTCTTTAATCATTCTGCTCCATTTTTCCAGGACGGAGCTCCACTCCAAATGGGTGGAGTTATCCTCCACCCATTTGGATGGAGGATAACTCAGCCTGTGTGGATTTACGCACCACCTGACTTTCAAAGCCCGATCTGGAGAAGAATCATTTCTGATTTTCTGTAAATCTGTTCCGATGCTTTAAAATTAACATCCATATTTTGACAGCTTCCTGCTTCTTGTTCAGCCCAGTAAGCTCACATGAATTCATCAGTTTTCATCCAAAGCGCAGGGTCAGTACTGTCTGGTTATCCAGTCATCATTGTGACTAGTGAAGAAGTTTGCCCTTCCTGTTACACCTCAGGTACCAGATCAGATCCAGGTTCTGGTGGACCGCAGAGCTGTAGAGCTGATAGGAAGGCTAACGGTTAAGAAGGAGAGAGATGATGGTTCTGTTCCATGTCCAAAAAAATCCTGTTGGCTCGGATATTTTCTTCATTACCTTCTCTGTTCTTTTTTTTGTTGTTCCTGCGCTCTGCTGTCATACTTTATGTTGTCCGCCATCGTGAGAAATCCCTCCTTGATGCTCCGCCCCAAAGTGTAAGACGTGTCAAACTTGGACCGATAATAATCAAGCATTCAAGATGGACGTTTGCCAGAACAAATCAGAGTTTTTCAACAGCACCTCTAAAATCCTCTTAATGAGTGATAAAATTAAGGCTTTCTGACCTTTTTCATTCACAAAAATACAAAGCATCTTTCGGGGTTCCCCAAAGTGCTGTTCCCTGGGCTGCGGCCCCGGTAAGCCCATGCTAAAATCCACAATGACCACAAATGGTCATTGTGCTGTTTGGTGACATGGTGTGTATCGCATCATATTTTTGACATGATGATAACTGAACCACAAAACAGCGGCGGCAGGTTGGCATCCTCTGTGTCAGCAGCTCACTACTCGTATTCAAAAATTGATTACTTTTTCATGTATAACAAGGATCTAGGTTGAGTAGAAAAATGTCATATTAGGCTGATGGATCTTTCAGATCATTAACATCTACTTGATATAAAAGTAGATATTACAAAACAAAAACCCTGTTTCTATGAAGACTTAACTCGAGCATATTCAAGGGTAAAATTAAAGAAGGGTTAGGACAAGAAATTCAGACAATGACAATGGAGAAGTCTCCCTTGTAATATTATAGGACGTCTGTAAAGCTGTCTTGAGACATCAAAAAGTTAGAAATGTTACCTTTACTACTTCCTTTAATTCTCAAATATATTAGTGTGTGTGGCAGAATATGCCAGTGAGAGACACTAACTTAAATGTAGAAGGACGCTTTATAAAGTTTGGTCCATTTACTTGTATTGCTTTACTGGCAGATGAGCCACATTCAATATGGCGGACGCTGTGACGTATTGGGCCGACCCGCTCCATGAGGCATCTGCATATTCATGTCTGCACACTCCACTAAGTTATAATACTTTTTTAGGTATGACTTATTTTTCTCCGTCCCCACGTGCAAATGTTAATACAAATACCCGGAAAGCTCCAACCACGTGACTGAATTACCATGGCAACGGGCTCTGGTCGAGTCTGTTTCCAACATCTAATAATAACAATAGATTGTAGTCAAAAGCAAATTGAACTCTGAGCTTTTACTTGCATGTTTGCCAGCCTGGTTCGAGGAGGTTCGGTAGGGTTTAGTTCATGTGGGTTTTACTGAACCAGAAAGAAACTAACTGCTTCCTGTTGATCTGGAAACTACTTCTCTGCCTCATGAGGATAGGAATTGGAGGTGAATTTCGTTTTGGTCTAAATCTCCCAGCCGAACCATTAACTAAGTTAAGCCCGGTTCAAACGTTTTATCGTTTTATTGTGGCTTTTATTTTGACAGTCTGCCCCTTATGTTCGCTCTAGAGTTTTTGAATGATATTATTTTGAAATCCCCGACGGAAATATGTTAGAAATACTTCCGCTAGCCTTCCGCCGGTCCCAAAAACTGAAGCCTCGATCGGTGCGGATAATCCGGCTCCAGTGGGCCGGGAAGCCGCCGAAATGAGCCCGAGGAGCAGCTAGCGGACCCCGGGAGACCCGCGGACCCCGGGAAGGTAACCTGCCGCTAAATGTCCCGGTCCGTCCCGTTTTCAGAGCTCCACACGCCGCTCAGTATGCTAACTGGAGCTAGGATCTGCTACCTGCATGAGCGCCTACAGTCCCGACCAGATCCAGAACCTGCTGGATCTGCTGGGAAATATGTGGGTCAGGCTGCTTCTGACTACAGCCGAGGAGATGACCCAGATGGACCCTCCTCCCCTTAAATCAAACCCGGTGGCGGGTCACGTTGCTGTCCATCTTAAATCTGATCACATGACCAGAACCCACCCTTCAGGTTCTATGACCTTCCTGATGACCCCCCCCTCCCCCCCCTCAGGGCCTGCAGGTCAACCAGCCTGGTTTCCATGGAGACAGCTCCATCGTGCTCCTGGATGGGTCCAGGTGTCCCAACCTGCTGGACACCTGGACACAGAATCAGTCCAGACTCACAAGAACAGGCGGAGGAGGTTCTGGTCCAGAAGGGTTCTGGTTCTGGACCGTTCTGCTGTTTTTTCTGTCTTTAGACCAACCAGACTGCAATGTTTCTCCTGGCCTCTGATTGGCTGAGGCTGATAACTGATCATGTTTTATTGTTTCTTTCCTCCCTCGTCTAGAACCGGTCCAGAGCGTCAGGCTTTGAACCAGTTTCCTGATTGGAAACCGATCAATAATCAAAGATACAGGTTTTCTCTCAGTTCACCTCTGTCTTTCTCTCTCCAGGCTTTGAGATGCTCTCTCGCCCCCTGACAGAGACCCTTGGCAGGGGGAGTGACCCGACAGCAGAAACCCTGCCCAATGATCTCCCATTGGCCGATGCAGATGAGGCTCTTGCAGGTGGTTTTGTGTCTTCTTTGTTGATTTGTGCGTCCACAGGTAAAGGTGTTAACTCCAGCTATTCACCTGCAGGAGGCTCCGCCCCCCCGGCCCCGCCCTGCTGCTCCTGCGCCTCCCTCTTGCCCCGCCTCCTGGCAGCTCACCGCATGGAGGTGCGGCACCTCCTGCGAGGAGCTTTGTCATCGCTCGGCCGCCGACTGGACTCTCTGGAGAGGAAGAGGAGGAAGAGGAGGAAGGAGGGAGGAAGAGGAGGTTGGTCCATTTTCTGCGACTGAAGCGGTTGATGGGGCGCTGGCAGTTAGGGTTTATTGTTAATCGTGACAAAAGATCTTCTACCGTTACGATAAATGCAGATTAATTATGTTTAAACTCTAAAACTGTCTATGTTGTTGGATTATTAACCCTTATAGGTGCATTGATAAATTTAAAAATGATTTAATGCAGTTATTGAGAGCATTTTACTGATGAATTTTGCATATGTTCCTTTAACTTTAAGTGCATTTGACCCCTTGCTGGTACAGCTGCAGCAGGCCTGGAGCACAACTCACCTGGTGGTCCATCGGGGTTTTCTATTAAAAGATGTTAAGTTGACAGGAAATGTAAAATATTACTGAGTAATTATGTTACTGGAAAACATTGCAGACAACACTTAAAGAAACTACTATAGAATCTTAAAAGCAACTAATCAAAAACATACAATTAAAATAAATATAAATGATCTGCATCTGTGTTAAATCCAAGTTGTCATGAGTTAGTGGAACTAAAAACACCATGTGATGCTGATCACATTTGTAGCCGGCCCAAGGCATAAATAAACTAAGAGAACATCAATGCTGCTAAATTTGACTTAATGGTTTCAGCATAGATAAATTAAAAGATTTTAAATTGTTTAACATTTACATTTAAGATTTTAAGAAGCTGGCAAGTTTACTTTGTAAAAGTTCAGAGAACAATCTTCATAATTAGGTTGTTTTGTTACCACATAAACAATTTGGTGTTCTCAGTTTAATCTTAGAGTTTTAGATGCTCATAAATACATCTTAGTAAAGTACAATTATAATTGACTGCTCAGCCAATTAAACTAGGCCCCCTCTCCCAGGTTTCACTAAATCTATGTTGAAATGCTGTTAGTGGTGCTGATGGGGCCCTTAAATCAAAATCTGTTCAAGGCCTCATTCAACATTGGACCGGCCCTGCATGATGAGCTAAATCCGCTGCACTGCGCATCTGCTGGATGTAGACGGACAAACGGGAGATTTAATTTATGGGGCTTTAGTAGCTCTTCCACTTTGTGTCTGTTGAGTTTTTAATTAGCGCCACAGAAACTCTCGGTTGCCCGAGCTTTATGGGACGAGTTGTTCTGATCTCTGCGCGGCTGCACAGCAACTGAACCTGATTTTAAGTAGACAAAGCATTTAATATGCATTGTGTTGCTGCAAAGCATAACAAACCAGCGTGCTGCGCTAGTCACGAGGCGAGCACAAAAGCTCCTCAACAGAGTGAACCACAACGCACCAGCTAACCGGGAACTTTATCAGAGCAGAAACACACTCAGCATGTTGAGACGTAAACGCACACGGCGCATGAAATGCTTTGTTTGCACCTCGAAAGGGTCACCTGTGAATGTTGAGCTGCACTAGCAGAGCAAATGAGGTGGATTTAAGCTCGACTCCTACCTTGATCAATTCTACAAAGAAACATGGATCCTCACAGGGGGTTGATATAAATGAGCCTCTATGAGCGATCAGCCAAGAGGGGAACTTCAGAGATCAAGGCACAACAGCGCGCGAAGCAGCTAACGTTCAGAGGCGCCGGCGGTCTGATTGGTGGAGCATCAACTATAAAAACTATAAACCCATCTTTCTTTCATGAATAACTGCCCTGCCAGTGAAATGCTCACCGCAGAAGAAACGCTTTGCAGTCCGACTTATTAAAAACCACACACACAACGGTCAGCCTGGCACGGGAGCGTGTAAAGCCTGGCGGTCCGCCAGGCCTGTAATAAACTGGGGGAAACGCTGCTGAGGAGGGGGAGGAGCCTACTGCCAGGTGTCCAGATGCTCCTCCCCCTTTATCATCTGCCTTAGTCACCTAACCTCATCTGCTTTCTTCCTCACCAGGTCCTCCTAGTATCACCTGCAGCTCCTCTTCCTCATCTGCATTGTCGCCTCACGTCATCACTTCCTCTTCATGGTCACCCTCCACTTCATCAGACCTGATGAAGTGGAGCAATCCTTCCTGCAGCTTCAGCCAATCAGAGCAGAGTAGGAGGGACAGTGAAGGAGAGGAGGTGAGGAGGAGGAGGAAGAGGAGGAGAAGCCATGAAGGCTTTCTTCCTCCAGGGAATGAAGAGGAGGAGGAGGAAGAGGAGAGGTTTGTGGGTCAGATGGCGGTCTCTGTCAGAGGAAGAGGAGGACCTGAGGAAGAAGAGGCAGAGCATCTCGTCCTCCATGACTTCAACCAGAGGAAACGCAGACGAAGGGTCGGCCAGTCAGAGCTGGGCTTCAGCGAGCTGGTGAGGAAGAACGGCTACAGGTGAGTCCGGGTCTCTAAAGGTGGGCGGAGCTCCCAGGTGACGCGGTTCTGACCTGCTCTGCTTCTTTCCTAGCTCCCAGCATGCACTGCTTCCTGTGCAGGCAGCTGTCATTGGCCAGACCTGCGGCCAATCACAAGGCCTCGCTGTGTTACCGGGACAGTGGACGTTCTCTGACATCATCACGCACCTGTCCTCCAACCGGACCCACCTACAGCCATGGCTCCAGAACCCCGCCCCCGTGTTACACCTGTCTGCCGTTGCCATGGAGACGGTGTTAGACTGGGTGAAGGGCGGAGCCTGTTGGAATCCTCTGCGTCCTCTGAGGGACTGGACGGCACCGCCCAGTTTGGACAGCGACCACAGGTAGTGGGCGGGGCCGTCGGGATGGGGGAGGGGTTGGTGGGATTTGAACCCGGGACTCCCTAGCTGCAAGGCAGCAGCCGCCGCTCTGTGAAAGCTTTAACGTGATTGCTCAGGCCTGAACGGCAGCAGTTCCACATCACCCCTGTAGGGGTCACTATAGCTGCCAGCAGAAGGTCGGTCTGGCTATGGAGCTGCGCTGTTTGGTTAATCCGGACCTTGCCGTTGGAAATGGCGTACTCCGGGTTTTCCTGTATGGTTTGCGTCCAGAGTCTGTTACCATGGTGATGGACTCGTTGGTTCCTCCCGTTTCTCCTGATTTATTACCAATCAGCTGATTAATAAGTTACATCATTAATCTATTTATTTACTAACTAACTTCTGTTTCACCCTCAGCTACATAAGAAGACTGATGACCAGGTAACAGATTACCTGAAAACACACAGTGTGTGTGTGTGTGTGTGTGTGTGTGTGTGTGTGTGTGTGTGTGTGTGTGTGTCTGGTGTGTGCGTGAGCACTAACAGGTGAACCTATCTCTGTTTCAGCTCTACAGGTTCTCCCCAGGGTCATCACAAGCTGCGGTCCAATCACAGTACCTGGAGCCTGTGGTTGCCAAGGCGACGAGCCTTGCCACTGAATTTATGTTCAGCCAATGGGCTGTCTGCTGCCCTCCCTGCTGACCAATCAGCAGCGCTCTCAGAGTTTCACAGCACAAATGTGAAGGTGATGATGATGGTGATGATGATGGTGATGATGGTGATGATCGTAATGATGATGATGATGATGATGATGGTGGTTCTTGTGACCCAGCTCAGTAAACGAGTGTCGCAGATCAGAATACGCCGTGCGTCGCCGCGGGAGACGCCTCTCACACCAATGGGACTGCCCAAAGCGAAACGGTAAGAAAACAGTAAATGTTTCTCCAGCATTCAGCAGGAAATTAGTCGGATGGGTCTTGGGAATCCCGTAGAAACCTCATAAATATTCAGTTTAATATATGATAAAGTCACCTAGTTGTGTTTGGCCATTCTGCTGCCTGGAAAGCGGTGCTGTTTCTGATGTTGGTGGGGAAACGTTTCCCGTTTACACTGCGTCGCCAAGACACTTCCCGTCAGCTGTAGTTGTCCTGCCAGGCCACTAGGTGTTGCTAGTATTTTAACAGTAACCCGTCTGCTACATTTTCTTTCCCAGCTGTCCACAACTGTTTCTGTTGTTATCCGGCTGTTGAAGCGCAGAAAAAGCTGTTGGTTCTGTGGTTGTGCGCTCTCAGTCCTTGGCTCCTCTGCCGGGGCGTCACAGGACGGTTCCAATCTGAAACCTGGTTTCAAAGCGTGCCGAAAGGTGAAAGGTCACTTCTTAATGAGCGGCTGGACTGCAGCAACAGGTTATGGTTGAGCTGAAGAGCGGCGCTGTGTAAACGGGTACTAGAGGAGAACGGTCATCATGAAGATCTCTATAACTTTTGCACATCAGTCCGGTTTGGACCTCCACATCCCGTCTGACCATCAGAACCAACATTCAGGAAGCTGGACTTCACCCGACCCAGTAATAATTTCAGACCCATGTTACAGTTTTTCCCAATTAAAATTAAATTCCAGTTTAATTTTGAGGATTTCTCCAAATTTTCCTCCAGAGTGATGTTGGTTCTGACCCAGTTGAATCCTCAGAACCTTGTGGATTTAACCAGCATCTCCATCCACTTTGTCTCCCACAACTATAGAACTTCCTGGTTTCTGTCCAATTAAAGCAGAGAAACACTGCCAATAGATCTGGTTGTGGAAGGTTCTGGTGGACCTGTCAGAACTCGATCTCAGGGCGGTTCTGGTTAATGATGATGATTCTTCCTGTGTTCCTCAGTTTGAAGAAGAAGGAGTTCAGCCTGGAGGAGATCTACACCAACAAAAACTATGAGGCCCCGCCCAACATCAGGTAGGTACCGGTACCAGACCTCAGAGATCCGACAGGATCTGTTCTAGTGTTGCTGTTTCCTGTAGTCAGTGCTGACAATCAGGGCAGTCAGTCGTTGGATCCTGATTGGCTAATGACTGTTGCTAACATCATTTAGGGTTACAACCCATAGGCAGTGGCGCAAAAAGTGGGTATGCAGCGCATAGGGGCGCTGCACCAGAGGGGGCGGCGCCCTGATGATGCCTTCACTTCACCGCGCCCTTACGCTCCTTCACCTCACGCACATGTAAATGTAAATGTAGCGAGTTTTACCTTTCACGGTAGAACGACCGTATGTTTTCTACGCTCCTTAACCCTTATGTACCTTCCTTTTGGGGGGGGGATTTATGTTTTCGCATCCACCTGAATAATATGTAGTTGCGCCCCTGCCCATAGGTGGTGGCGTGCCTTCAACTCAGCTTCCCAGAATGCTTTGTGTGTTTTCTGCAGGAGCCTGGAAACCATATTTGAGGAGCCTCGGGAGAAGGATGGAGCGCTGCTCCTGATTGGCCAGCAGAAGCGTCGCCGGCTCCTCCTCTTCCCTGACTTCACTCAGCCCAGGAAGAGGAAGAAGCCCCAAGGTCCGCCATGAACCCAACACCTCTAGTTCTTCATCAGCATCAGCCGCTGATCTGCTTCCTGTTTCCTCCAGGGGTGGGTCTTCCTGTTTCCTTGGTGCCCAGAAAACGAGGAGCAGTGCGGCGACACGTCCACGGCGGGGGGCTGGATGACAGCAGCGACCTTGACGTGATGCTGGTGGAGCGCCTGAGTGAGCTCGATGACTTCCTGACTCAGCAGGGCCTGGACGTGTGACATCATTTCCTGACAGCTGACTAAATGGACACACCAATGGTGACAGTGTGAAGGGGTGAATGGAGACATGTCTGCAGAGGCTGAGTCTTGGATCAGGCTCCGCCCCCTCCAGGAGGCTCCGCCCCCTACAGATACACCTGTGGAAAAAAACCTCATCCAGCTGCCAGTCTTTGCAGTACTCTGTAGTACTCTGTGGTACCCAGTAGTACTCTGTGGTACCCTGTAGTACTCTGTGGTACCCTGTAGTACTCTGTGGTACCCGGTAGTACTCTGTGGTACTCTGTGGTACCCGGTAGTACTCTGTGGTACTCTGTAGTACTCTGTGGTACCCGGTAGTACTCTGTAGTACTCTGTGGTACTCTGTGGTACCCTGTAGTACTCTGTGGTACCCGGTAGTACTCTGTAGTACTCTGTGGTACCCGGTAGTACCCTGTAGTACTCTGTGGTACTCCGGAGTGTTGTGAACTGTGATGTTTATTTCTGATGAAAACTGTATTTTTGGACAAATAAAGTCGTTTCTTCTCTGAAACATTTTCTGGCTGTCCAATCGTCCAATCGTCTGCCAGCAGCTCAGGCTGTGATTGGTCAGTCTTACAGAACCGGGCAGGTCCGTGGAGGCTCAGTCCGGCTTCGAAGGACTCCAGAATCAGGATTTTTTCTGGTGTCTAGATGAGGTTTCTGCAAGTGAAGCTGGAACCAGAACGTGGTCTGAACCAGATTGGGTTCCAGCTGGTTTATCAAGCTTCTCAGCGGCTTCAGGTCCGTTTAATCATTTGAACTCTGGTTCTGATTTTCACTCGTGTCTGGTGGTTCTGATGTACTGAAGTTCTATCAGAACTCTGGTGGGGGTTCTAAAAGGTTCTGGTTGAATCGTATTGTCCAGCCAGACTGAGCAGACTTCGCAGGAACAGAACCGACCCGATCCAGTCCACTAACCTAGCCAGTTTTCCTGGAGGTTCTGCTCCTCAAGTCCAGTCCGGTCCAGTTTCCAGGTTCTGTTGACCTAATGTCATTTACTTTTGCCACATATGTTTAGGTGGTTCTGATTCATTTTGGGTTCTGACGCGTTCTGCTATCTGGAGATCCATTTCCTCTCCTTTATCCTTTATCCTTTATCTAAAAAATTTCCGATACCGCTAGGGAACATCAATGCGCCTGCGCAACCCTCTTCAGAGGAAGAAGCAGAAGCCTGACGCAACATCTGCTGACGTCACATCCTACGAAGATGATGGCGGTGGCAGCAACGAGGTTGTTGAGCGGAGCATCCAGGAAATGCTGCAGGTAAATTCAACTGGAACACCTGAGCTCTTTAAGCACACGCTGACGTCAGCGGGACGCTGGCTATGACGTCAGGTAGCGAGCCGAAGGTTTGGTCCAGGGTCCGGTGGACCGGCAACCGTGGCTCAACCGTCCTTGATCAGCTGATGGATCCGAACCTGGAGACGCGGCTCTGGACCGGACCCAAGAAGGTTCGAATGGCAGGTGACACCTGCAGCCCGGAAGTTAGGCTGACAGGAAGAGGAAGTAGTATTGTTTGAAGTTAAATTGGAAACAGATTATCGTAAGCCCATATGGACCCGGTCTGGTTCTACCAGAACCAGCCAGACCAATCAGGCTTCTCCAGGTTCTGGTTCTATGGGCAGAAACAGGGTCAGATGGACCCGGAACCTCAGAACATCAAAGGGTTCCTGAATGAAACCAGCAGAACCATGAAGCACCGGTCTTATTCTGGATCGGACCGGTTATTATGGCGCGTTCTGGTGTCGACCAGAAAATGTTCTGACCATTTTAAATTAGAAAGATGGTACCAGTTGGGCCCGGTACCAGAGCCATTTTGAAGGAAGCTGTGCCAAACCTCGGTGGTTCTCCTGTTGTCATTGAAGTTCTGCATGAACGGAGTCTGGCCCGGTTCTGTCGCGCTCTAATCCTTCTGGCTGATTCCCAGTCAGACCAGTCTCAACCCAGTAGAACTTCCAGAACCAGCCCAGTTCTGCTTGGTTCTGTTGAAGGCAGCTGGAGCCGAGCTGAATGAGTTCCAGGTGGTTCTGGATCTCCTGCCTGATGACAGCAACATGCGGGGGAGGGGTTCTTGTTTTCCTGGCCTTGCACTGTGACCCGGTAGAGCCACTGTGGTTCTTCTCTGCAGACCTTCACCACAGAACCAACATGGCCGAGTTTTAGCTGGGTCTGGTACCAGCATGCTTTGTATGTTTTTCAAGCCGTTCCAGTTGAGGTTCTGGACCGTTCGGTGCATAAAGGAGCCTGGGGTCAGTTTGGGGTCATGTGACCAAAGGTTAGGGTCGGTTTGGGGTCATGTGACCAAAGGTTGAGGTCGATTTGGGGCAGGGGCTGGTAATTATTTTTTCCATGGGGTCACATAAGAAACAGAAAATATTGTGGAGGGCCAAAAGTCTGAACTCAATTCTGCATAATATTTATTGTATTTCTTTTTTTAACAAAAAGCAGTAAATGGCATTGTTTTGACAAGCGGGCAAGACTAGTACATGTTAAAGTTATGCAATGAAAAAGTGAGGCTGCCTTCCAAAAAAATTTATTTATTCACACAAATTTCTCAAAACAATGGTAGAGAAAATGTTAACTATTTGTGTCTCATATTGGTGAATATTTTCCATCACATTCACTCCAAAACACATTTGAGTTTCATATACCGTTGGAAAGTTACGTAAAGGTTCTGATCATTTTAAAGAATCTCAACATTGTCTTTGTGCTCCAAACATTAAGCAAGAAACAACATATTGAACTGTGACTGAACTGTGATTTTGAGAAAAAGGTTCCAGATAAAGTTCACTGCTATCTGGTGCCTTAACATCCTACATTTGTGGTCCAACCACCTCATTTGGTGTGTTCCTTTTCCTTGTTCAGTGAGAGAAATCTAATCTCTCCTGGGCTTTAACAAGTGCATCAAAGTCAGGTTGAATGTCTGCAGTGGAGATGCGAAGCACAGTGGACAGATGATTATCAGTGAGAAAGGATCTATATCTGGATTTTGTAAATTTCATCACCGAGTATGTTTTCGCAAATGTAGGTAGAGCCAAAGAGAACAAACATCTTCTGAGCATGTTTCCTAATGTTAGGAAAGTTCTCGGTCATTACTCCATCAGACTGCAGTTCATTGACTTCCAGCTGAACATCACTGGATGCATCATCCATACTGAAGGTAAAAAGAGGGGAAATCACATGCATTTTACCCTCCATTGTTCTGAGATCCTTAAAGCGCATTGAAAACCCATCATGCAATGCTCCTAGCATGGCTGAGTACCTGATCTGGACCAATTTCACTCATTTTACGTTACGTTTTAAAAGTCCGACATTTTTTCCTGTAAGATTTGGATAACTGTCCATGATGACACCTGTCAATTTGTCCCATTTCAGTCCCAACTTGTCCATTTTACCTCCGTTAAGAGATTACTCGTCTTCGTCCCTTTTAAGGACTGCATAGCTGCCAGCTCCTCCATAATCTTTTAGTCCGGCGTTAGGGTCACGGACATCACAGCTCCCATCCAAAGCCAAGGAGAAAAAGTCCAAACTTGGCACTTGATGTTGCAGCTGTAGCTCCTCCAGGTTCCCCGCAATGTCCTCGATCCTCCTCTTCACGGTTCGCCTGAACAGCGGGACTTGCTCGAATGGGACTGTTTTTTTTTTTTTTTTCAGGCCATATTAGTGCTGCAGAGTCTGCCAAGCACTCTTTCACAAACTCCCCCTCCAAGAATGGCTTGCTGTTTTTGGCTATTTTGTGGGTCATCACAAAACTGGTCTTGGTTGCTGCATTTCTGGAGCTTGGTAAACAAAAAAAAGGCCTTGCTGCGTTCGCAGTTTAGCTAACAAAGCTTCGGCAGTCGAGTTTTCATATTTCTCCCCTTGTTTCGTCTGGTAATGCCGAGTCAGATTGAAGTCCTTAAACACGGCGATCTGCTTCCCACAAACTAAACACACGACTTTACCTCATACTTCAGTAAATAAATACTTAGCCATCCATTTTTTGTTGAAAATCCCACATTCGGAATCTACCTTTCTTTTTTTAGCCTGAGCTAACATTTTGAGGGCTAAAGTCGTCTTCTGATGATGTTCAATCACTGCACGTCTTGCATGAATAAGAAAAACACCAACTTCAGAATAAAAGCAGTGCAGCTTTAGTCCATGAATGAGGTGAAATTAGAAGGTATGTTTATTTTGGAATTTCCAGTTAACCTTACACTGCGGCCAGAGTCAACTAAGGGTATGTTGTCTGGGCCGTACGATGCCCAGGTCTGGTTTGGGGTCATGTGACCATTGGTTGGGGTCAGTTTGGGGTCATGTGATGGCGAACGTTAATGCGCTGTGTGTGTTTCAGGGCGCCATCGCCGCGCTGCAGCCCGAGCCGCAGCCTGAGCAGCGGTGAGTCCCTGCAAGGAGGTAAATGATGATAAGGTCAGATCTGTCAGCCAATCAGCTTCCTCTGCCTCTGCAGGTCTCCGCCCCCTTCCCCGGCTCCGGCCGTTTGCTCTGCTCATCGTCACGGGAGGCTGTTACCTTGGTTACCAGCAGTACAAAAGGCGGGACCAACAGGATGAAGAGGCTGCACCCCATTTAGCCACGCCCACTCAGGTGAGACACAAATTAGGGGCTGGAACTAGTTCAGCTGCATAATCCCACCGAGACCCATAGCAGAGTGGGTGGAGCTTATGCCTCCTAAATGTAAAGAGGGAGTGGCCTAATGATGAGGGAGGTAAATCCCCCACAGAAGGTCTCAACCGTTTTTGATGTCACTTCTGCTTTTCGTTTTGTCTTGTCAGTTGTATTGGTTCTGACCCGGTTCTGAACCTGGGTCAGTTTTATGCTGTGACCTGACCCACTGAGACACAGGTTACCATGGCAACATTAAAGCCACAGCAGCAGAAGCATGTGTTTGTAAACACTTGATTCAGACACTGGAGCTGTTACCATGGTAACCCCACCATCACTTCCTGCTCCAGGAGCGGATCCCGATCATGGTTCTGACTCGGTAGATGAACCTGCAGGTTTGCCTGCTCAGAACCGACCAATCAGCAGCTGGCTATCTTTCTGAGCACGTGCAGAACCGCTTATGTAACAGGGCAGGGTTAACCAATCCCGTGGAGCCAAGTTAGTGACATCACCCAGGTGAATGACCTCACTCTGATCGGTTCTCTGGGTGAAAGGTGAAGGTGATGTCACACAGTCCTGCCACCTCTCCTTACAGCCACCCTGCCTCCTGATTGGTCAGACAGCCTGCTGTGATTGGTCAATCAGTAACCAGGCATTACAGCAGCAGGCTGTGATTGGTCAGCTCTCACCTGATCGTTAATCAGCGTATTGATCAGCAGAGTGATGACTCAGCAGTTTCAGGGACCATTCGTGGCCATCGATCCGGATTTTTCCATCAGGCCGCGGACTCTGATCCTTGTGCTATTAATAACTGCGGCGTGGCAGAGTGGGCGGAGCCTAGGCACCATAACCTCAGCCGCCTCCTCCTCCTCCTCTTCCTCTGCTGCCACTGCGGCTCAGCCTCACTCGCCATGTGCCGTCGGCCCGCTCAGCTCCCGGCGCCGGCCCGACCTGCGCGCTCATGGTGAGGTTCTGCAGGCCGCCGCGGCCCGACCGCAGCCAGCTGCGGTGGGGGAGGGGGTGGAAGGAGTGGAGCTGCCGGACCTTTCAGGTGGGAGAGAGGAACCCTTCGGAACCGACCTGCGACCTGTAGCTGCTGCCTGCCTCTGACCCGATCCAGCTGCACGCTCAGGTCCGCTTCGGCTTCCGTAGAAACTGGCTCAGAAACCGGAACCTTTAATCATTTCTTTACTCCAGAAACCTACTGATCCGACACCGATCAGGAATCGGATCAGGAACCAGATCCGATCTTCCAGCAGAACCATTACATTCAGTCTGGGAGAGCTGTCAGCGGTTCTGGACCTGACCCGGAGAGAGAGAGAGATTATCAGGAGATGAAGCCAGATTAGAGCAGATTACAGATTGCCATGGAGACGGCATCTGATCTGCTGAAAGCCTGCTGACCCAATTATTCATCCACTGGCCCGGTTCTGCTGGTTCTGGATGGGTTGCTGCTTCAGAGTCCCTCTGCTGGTCCGGCTGGAACCAGAACCGAGCTGGACCTGGAGGTGGGGGCTAGTTAGCTAGCTGCGTTGGCTCCTCCTGTGCTGACCTTTGACCCTCCTGATGCTCCGCCTCCTTGTGCTTGCCGCCGCCGCTCGTTGAAGCCCCGCCCACTCCACACCTGTTTCTGACTGGTTTAGTTTTCAAATTGTTGTCTTCCTGTCAGCTGACCATCGTGTCTCCGCCCCTTTCCTTTATGCTCCGCCCCTTCCTGTCAGGCTCCGGGTGCCTCGTTTGGCTCTGCGTCACCGTCTGAGCGCGCTCAGTAGTGGTGTCTGTCGCCCCGCCCCCTGGCACCACCGGCCAATTGCTTTCCTCGGCTTCCTCCTGTCTGTCAATGCCCTGCGGCCGCTGGCCAATCGGGTAAGAGCGGCTCTGACAGGGCTTCTGATTGGATGATGAGAAAAAGGGAGGAGAGCGACCATATATGTACATCCTGTTGCTGCTCTGTGATCCGAGGGAACCGGAACCGGCGCCGAGTGATGCTGTAGTTTCTGTTTGGACCCGCAGGTGGCGCTTTACCGGACCTTCCCGACCCGCCTCGTGTCCCGGGCCTGGGGCCGGCTCAACGGACTAGACCTACCCACCTGGCTCCGCAAACCTATCTACTCCCTCTACATCTGGACGTTTGGGGTCAACATGCAGGTCTGGACAAGAACCAGAACCAGAACCAGAGTGGTACTGGCTCCTCTGACGCTGTTGTTCCTCTGTCTGTCCACCAGGAGGCAGCAGTGGAGGACCTGCATCACTATAAGAACCTGGGCGAGTTCTTCCGCCGCCGCCTCAAACCGGCAGTCCGACCCGTCTGCGCCGCTTCCTGCCTGGTAAGCTCCTCCCACCGGAACCAGAACCAGAACCTTACATCCACTCTCTGACTCGAGTTCATTTGGGTTTTCATCTGGACCGCCTCAGTGCGGAGGGAAGAGCCAGCAGAACTCTCTGGTTCTGGTTCTGTTGGGTCACTGGGTTCTGGCTACGTTTGCAGACATCGCCGGCTGACGGCAGGATCCTCCACTTTGGACGGGTCCAGAACTCGCAAGTGGAGCAGGTGAAGGGCGTGACCTACAGCCTGGAGAACTTCCTGGGACCACCCAGCAGGCCAAGCCCAGGTGAGCGGCGCCGACCCACCAGAACTCCGGTTCCAGTTTGGGTTCTGACCTGTGCGGTTCCGTTTCAGACCCGGCGTCCTTCCAGGACCGGCTGCTGTCATCTCCGGACCGCGCCCTGTTCCACGTGGTCGTCTACCTGGCGCCAGGCGACTACCACTGCTTTCACTCGCCGGCCGACTGGAGGGTGGAGCTGCGCCGCCACTTCCCAGGTGAGTGTTGGCACGGCAGTGAGCGGGCCGTCGCCGTGCCGACGCTCACCGCTCCATGTCACCCCCAGGCTCGCTGATGTCGGTGAACCCGGGCGTGGCCCGTTGGGTCAAGGAGCTGTTCTGCCTCAACGAGCGCGTGGTGCTGAGCGGCCAATGGCAGCACGGCTTCTTCTCCCTCACGGCAGTGGGCGCCACCAACGTGGGCTCCATCAGGGTCTACTTTGACCAGGTGAGTTTCTGCCGGAGGTCCGGCTGGCCATGTGGTTCCGGGTCTACTGGATCCCGGATGGGTCCCACTGAAGGATCAGAGGGAAGAACCGGTTCCTACTGGAGCCGGGCTCTTGGCAAGCAGCGGCCAATCAGAACTCTACAAGCTCTATGTTTAGTTCAGAAGGTTGAGGAGTAAAACAGCAAAATGATAAAATGTTGGATCAGAACCAGAACTGCAGCAAACGGCTGAGTCCAGGAAATTTATCCATGCCTCGGATCTTAAATGTGCATTCAGTCCAGCCCAGTTTAATCCGCTTTAATCCAACTCCAGGGCTGGTCCGTTTCAGGTGTGAATGCTAATTGGACTAACAAAGTGAATCCTGATCCAACTGACAACGTCGCTTCAGACCGGTCTGGTCCAGTCCAGTTTGGTCTGGTCAGTTAGTTAACTCTTCTTAGCATTCTCTAAGGAGTAAACATGAGTTAGCCTACGTATGAAAACATCGGCAGTTTTCTCAGCTTTAATTTAATATTTTATAGAAATTGGGTAAGAAATTTGACTTTCTGTGACAGACTACTGCTCATTGGACCAGTCTGGTTTTCCAGATGTGACTCGCAGTAATGGCCGCCTGCAAGAGAGGCGCTAACATTAGCAGCTAATAGGTGATGTATATCAATGGAAAAATCGTACAGCGCTAAGCTCCATTTTTGTTGACATTTTGTGAAGCAGGAAGTTGCGCTGGTCTTCTTCAAAGGTTTTGTGTTGATTCCTTCAGTGGTTCTTGGTGCAGTGCCCCCACAGGCCAGGAGGGGAACAGGTTTTTCAGTCAGTCTGGATCGTTTGGCTCAGAGTGGTGTGAATGCGAACCACAGTAGCTGAAAATGTACTGAATGTTGTTGCTTTGGTCCTCAATCGAACCAAGTCTGATGGACCACCAGGTGTGGAAGCAAGTTAGGGTTCGCTCCAGGTGGTTCTCATGAATCAGACTAAGTTCTGGGGCCTCATGCATAAAACACTGCACAGTTTTCACACAAACTTGGCGTATGGAAAAATTTAGAAAAGTGTGGAGCACAAAAGAAATCCAGATGTATAAAGCCGTGCCCACCTTTCCTTGATAAATCCCAATTTGCGTGAAAGAGAGCAGCTGCTGGTCTGTTGTCTAATTTACATCTTAGTATTTATAATAACAATTATATATTTTATTTAAAAGGTGCTTTCAGGGACATAAGGTCACCTCACAAAAATAAAAATAATACATTTTAAAGAAAAAGTAAAGAGTAAAGCTGTCCGGGTCGGACCTGCTGCTGCAGCAGAGCCTCCGGGTCGGACCTGCTGCTGCAGCAGAGCCTCCAGCCGGTCTACAGACCAGAGAGGCTCTGAATGTGGACGTTTGCTCTGCAGACAGGAATCAGCAGCAGGAGCTGCATTCACAGAGTAGAGATGCTTTCTGTCCATAAGGCGCTTTCACAAAGCGGGCAGCTCCACTGGAGGACGGCTGCAGCTGGACCGGTACCGGTACCGCTGGTACCGCTCTAAGTTCTGCTCAGAGCTCCAGGATGAATCTAAACGCTGATCGACCATCAGATGGATCTGATCTGTGATCAATCCTCCATCAGAGCCAAAGCTCCTCAGGTAGCGGCTCACCTGGATCAGCTGCTGATGGACCTGATCGTCTCCTGATCAGAACCGAACCTGGTGGATCCATCTGCTGATCAGCCTGTTTTCTCTCCAGTCAGAATGAAATGAGCCTCAGATGCTTTCAGACGATGAGTTACATCTTCATGAGACAAACTGAGGAAGTTATTATTTACATTGGAGTGAAGTTTTACCTTCCTTTAGTTTCTTTTCTTTATTTTTCAGGTTATTGTCTGAGAATAAATGTTCAGATTCATCATTTAAACACTAAAATCATGAAATCATCAGGTTTGATGCTTCCTGGTCTAAATAACCAGGTTTCAGTGGATTTATGTGTTTATTAGTTTGATATTGTCCACAGACAAGGTTTGTGTTACTGCTGCATTTAGTATCTATTATTTATATGAATTTAAAATGACTAGTGAGTGAATTAATGAAATCAGAAAAATTCCTGGGTTCGACTGCTGGAGGGAGGGTAATTTGTAAAACACACTGACAACAAAATGGTGCAAAACTAGTGAAATGTATTGATATTTACAATATATACAGACAAGTTGTTTAAAATAGTTCATGAAATCCAAGATGTTTTTTCCTTTATCCAATGAATTTAACCAGTTCAGCTCCTTGATGGAGGTGAGAGAAATGATGAAAACAGGATCCAGTTCTGCTCGGTGCGGTCCGGTCCAGAGTGAAGATGAAGGTTTGGCTTGAATGTCTGCTACCAGATGGGAAGGAGTTGACAGGATGTGATGTTTCTCTTGATTCGCTGTGTGGTTCATCTCACCGTCTGGTCCACCTGGCAACAGACAATCAGAATCCTGGTTCTGGTTCTGGATCTGGAACAGAAACCTGGCCTGTGTTAAAACAGGCCTGATTGATCAACCCTGGCTTTTATCAATACATGTACATGTTTTTTCTTCTCATCACTCTGAGTTAGTATTTTTTCAGTTTAAATACTTCATCAAGATGATAAAACACATTCAGATCAGGTTCGGTTACAGGAGCTAGCGCTAGCATGCTAGCTTCCGAACAAAACAAAAACACTCACCAGTCCCCGCTTGTCAAACCGGGTAATCAGAACGTTTTGATCTACAATCGCACATCTGCAACAGCGCCTCCTACTGGCTGGTGAGCAGCAGCCATATAAGACGCTGACGTACGGCTGGTCATGTGACCTACAACCACGTGATAACTGACACACTGAATGGTGTTTGGTTTAGGTTTGTGCTTAAGAAATTAAGGAAAGGAGGATTTTATTTTAAAATAAATATTTAAATTAAAAAAATAAATAAAAGTGAACCTAACAGAAATGGAAAAAATTACCCTGGTTACATCCACATTTTCACGCCAGGGAAAAAGTGCGCATATTTTTACACAAACTTTGACGCAAAGTTAATTTTTATATATGCCGACTTGCGTAAAACATGGCGCCTCTCATTTTGTGTGCGTACGCAGCCTTGGTCTGAGCCGGTCTCTTTCCTTCCTCAGGAGCTGCGGACCAACGCTCCTCGCTACAGCAAAGGTTCGTTCCAGGACCGCAGCTACGTTGCCCCGGGCGACCAGGTGAAGACTGGTGAAGGGGGCGTGGCCTTGCGTAAAGGCGAGCCTGTGGGCGAGTTCAACCTGGGCTCCACCATCGTCCTACTGTTCGAGGCGCCGGCAGACTTCACCTTTGACCTGCAGCCAGGACAGCGAATCAGGATGGGGGAAGCCCTCGGCACCCTCTGATTGGCCGACAGCTAGAGGCCGCAGCGCATTGTTATTGGCTGGAGACTCTGAGAACAGAGCTTTGTGCAGGACGGACAAAAAGACACGGACTCAAACTCCCAGAGTGCTTTGTACCAAAGCTCTGTCTGCTCCACACTGCCGGCTGTGGCCAAAGGTTGAACTTCTGATTGGTAGAAAGCACTGTGACATCATCAGTGAGGTCCTGATTGGCTGAGAGCCGTAAACTGTCTTTATTTTTGTAAATTATGTGTAAAGAATAAATTTCTACTTTGAGCAGCTTTGGGTTTGAATCTGGAACAGAAAAAGCTTTTATGTTTGCTCAGAGTCAGTCTGGGTCCAGTCTGGGTCCAGTTTGGGACCAATCTGGGTCCAGTTTGGGACCAATCTGGGTCCAGGTCCAGGACCTGCAGCTGATCTGGGATTTGATCTAGGGTAGTTCTGACACATCAACTGGACCTGACAGTGAATCCGGTTCTGATCCGATCTGCTTGTTGCATCTCCATGGTAACAAAGGAGTTATGAAACAACCTGCAGGTGAGATCGATGAGATCAAAGACCCAAAACTTTAAAGTTTTTATTTGATGTTTCTGAACACAAAACACTTCAAAGCTCTGATTATTGTCCACGGCGACCCGGTTCTGACACAGCACTGACCCGGAACCAGGACATCTAGAATGCGCATCAGAACTGGGCCTCATCCAGGGCCGGTTCCGGTCCGGTCTGTCAGCCTCGCCCGGGGCAGCAGAACCAGCAGCAGCGCCAGCAGGACAGCCCCGGGCAGCAGTCGCCGTAGCGATGGAAGCGCGGCTCTGCCAGGCCGCCGTGCCGCCAGCTGTCATCAGGAACTTCTTTTCCCAGCCAAAGCTTCCCGTCGTGGGATGAAGCCCCGCCCCTGAGGGCGGGGCTTCGTGAGGAAGAGGAGCAGGAGACGAAGGTCTGCTGGGCCTTCACCGCAAGGAAAGATGCCAGGTCCAGGTCCAGACCGGCGGCGCCGCCGCGCGGCCGTGGCGTGTTCTGCCGGCACTGGGGACATGGGATCCACACCTGAGGAAGAGGAAGAGGAAGACGAGCGCCGTTAGGGTCGACCCGACTGCTGATGTCACGTCCTGTGAGGAAGATCAGACCGGTCCTCTAGTGACCTTTGGCCCTGTCAGGTTCCCAACAGAACTCATGCCATCAGTGAAGACTTAGCACTTCAGAATTTGAGCTCTGGACCGAAACCAGAACCAGAACCTGGACCCTGTCAGGTTAGGAAGTAGCTGTCCTCTTGACCTCCTGACCTCTTGACCTCACCTGCTCGTTGATCACCGTGTCGAGTCTCTTCAGACACGCCTGGCAGAAGGCGTGGCCACAGTGGAGTCGCCGTGGCAACCGCGTCAGCAAGTCATAGCTGCCGAAACACACAATGCACACAAGGTCCGGCCTCCTGCCCGACATCGTCGTCTCCATGGCAACAGAGGAGCAGGGAGGGGGGGGCAGGGGATCATCATCCTCCTCTTCATCTTCATGAATCATCTTCCCTGTCAGGATCAGATTTATTAAAACGTTTCAGCAGAAACTTTTACAACATGAATCTAGAAAATAAACTTTACATTCAGTCAGTCAACAAAAATATCAGAATGTTTATTAATGGGTTCTGTGATAGATTTATTCAATGTATAAAAAATGTGTATTCCTCACCAAAAGCAAGAATTAAAATCAATGGAAGCCTCTCGAATCAAATAACACTATGAGGATGTAGGCAGGGCTGCCCATTAAGCCCACTACTCTAATCTTTTTATCGAACCACTGGCTCAGGTTATTAGAGAGGAGGCTGGGTTGGAGGGGGTGACAATAGGGAATGTGGAAAACAAAATATGCTTGTATGTGGATGATGTTTTAGTAGTAATTAAAAACCCTGAATCTGGTATTCCATTGCTTATGAACATCCTGGAAACATATGGCAGGCTCTCAGGTTATAAACTCAACATACAAAAAAAACCCATTCTGACCCTTCATTTTGCTCCGTCAAAACAGTTAATAAATTATCAATTTAATTGGCACCAATTACAAATAGAATATTTGGGTGTTATACTAACAAAAAATTTGGCTCAGTTATATGAAGTTAATTACAAACGAATAAATAAGAAAATATAAGAGGACCTGGACAGGTGGAGCCTGCTCCCCCTTGACTTTGGCAGCAGAATCCGAACAATAAAGATAAATGTTCTTCCAAGACTATTGTACATATTTGCAGCACTTCCAGTAGAGGTTACAGCAAAACAATTTAGGGAGTGGGATAAGCATTTTTCAAGGTTTATATGGAGCAATAAAAGGCCAAGAGTAAAATACTCGACCCTGCAGCTGCCTGGGGATCAGGGGGGTGGGGGAGTATGGGTCTGCCTTGTCTGGTGGATTATTACTTGTCTGCCCAGATTAGACCTCTTGTGTGCTGGTGTAATCCAGCCTATGAGGCTAAATGGAAGGACATAGAGCTTTCCTTGTTGAACGACCCTGCACAGTCTGTTCTGGGCTGCCCCAGGTATACCAATTACAAAATCTGTGTTTGAGTTTTTCTTTGAAAAGTGGGCAGAGGTAGTTAAAAAGTTCAACCTCCATAAACAGAAGGGAATGTTGAGTTGGCCTTCGTACCACCCGCATTTCCTTCCAGCACCACAAATATAGAAGATGGGCGAAACAGGGAATCACTGCATTCTGTAATATAATTAAAAACAGGGAGTTAGTAAAGTTTGAGGATTTGTGCCAGACTTTTGACGTCAGCAGAGAAGATTTCTACCGTTATTTACAGGTCCGAAGTTTCTTCAGGAAAGAAATCGAAACTTATGACTGGGATGCTGAGCCAGGAATAGTACAAATATTTATGGATTCATATGCTGGTAAAAATACAAAAGGCACTATCGGCAAACTTTATAGAAATTTAGCATCTATGAATAAGAAATCAATTGATTATGTCAGACAACGATGGGAAAAGGAAGCAAATGTAATAATTTTATCTGAGGTCTGGCTGCGGAGTTGGAGGAATATTCTGTCCACCACAAATTCTTTAACATGGCGCGATTTTGGCTGGAAGAATCTAATCAGATTTTTATTACACTGAAGCAGAAATCGAAGCTGGGTGGTTCTCAGTTCTCTTGCTGGAGGGAAACCAGTGTGGTTTCTGCAGACTGTTTTCATATCTTCTGGGACTGTCCACAGTTAAAAACCTTCTGGAAGGATGTTAATCGAGTAATCTATGATATTCTGGGTATAACTTTAGCCTTTTCATTTCCTGCTATGTATCTTGGAATACTTCCTGAAGGACTCAATAATAAGGACACATACATGTTGAAGATATTTCTGATGCCAAGCAAGAAGGCGATTATTAAATGTTGGCTCCANTGATTTAACCCATTCATATTAAATTACATCAGTATTTTTCTTTTGGCAGAACAAATTTAGCTCTTCTGATGAATCATCAATAAACTGTTACAATCACAGATTCTTTCTTTTGTAACTAATTCATCTATAACATTAAATATTTAAACTTTTTCTCTGAGGTTACCTTTTTCCTTTTCACCTCTATTCCATGTTTTCAGTTTATCCCATGTTTCTGTCTGCAGCTCTTCAATAAAATCCTGATTGAAGATCTGCATGAAAAATAGTTTTCCTGTCTACAGATTGATCAGATTCATGCTGAATCGATTGTATTCTAATCATATGTTATTGTATTTCTCCTGAATTGTTTCTAGTCTTTTCAATTCATAGAAGAAGGAAACCTGCTGCCTTTTGTGTCCAGTGGGGCTCAGTACTGCCCCCTATCAGTACTTTCTGCCTCACCTATGTATTTATGGCCGATCTGAAGGTAATAAAAATTGGATTTTATTTTCAGTTATTGCAGTAAAGGGCCTGAATACAGATATAAATATTGGTCATGTTACTTTAAGTTATTCAATAAGTTAGTCTCAAGTTTTTGGTTTTCCAGTTCCTGCTTCTCTTCGTTCAGCTCACTAAATGACGTTTTTGGTTTATTTTCTAGTTGATCTGTTTCACTCTGCTGATTTATTTTCTCACCTGTTTTGGGAAACAATCTAGAGATTATATAGAAATTCAGTGCAAAACAGCCATCAGTCCAATGAACCCATTTGTAATTTCTTGACTTATCTGTCATGTAAGAACAATAACATAATAAAATAAACATTTCATTGCACTGCTAAAAAGCTAACAATGTTTGTTTTTAAATTTAACTAAATTAAAAATATATATTTTAACTGTAACAAAAACACTACAGTTAATTAACAAATAACGGTGCAATAACTGTAACTTACAACATAATATGTAATCTGTTCTGTTATATATTTCGACTGATTTAATGATGAAAAGGAGTCGGGTGGATTGTTCAGATGAACTTTAGTGGATAAAGAATGAACGAATCATACTAATACATGACAGAGAGTCGGAACTCGGCTAACATGCTAACAGCTCTTTTTCAGAGGGAGAAACTCTTCTTCTAACTCCAGGTTCCTACTCTACTAGTTCCAGAGCGTCATGGGATACTCGGTCCGCTTTCGAACCAGATACTATCAAATGCCAACCAAATAACTGCAACTCAAATAGTTATATTAAATTAAAATATCTCAAATAATAAGTCCAAATTCTCAACATATCCTGGCAAAAGCTATGCCCATTAAAACACCGATAGCGATTCCAACAGCTCCGCCTGTCAGGGCCCATTTCAAATCGCTGCTTTGGTCCATTTCAGCTGAAGTATCATCTGGAGAGAAGTTAAACTGAGAGGTTGGTAAACATACAACATGCTGTGTTTTTAAGGTAAATAAGCCACAGATGATGTAATGGAGACATTTTCTCTGTGAATAGAACAACCCCTTCTATTCAAAATGATGGAAAACAATTACACCTGTATATTGATTCATATTAAAACCATTTAAGTTTAATAGAATAAATAGAATGAAAAATATCAAAACATGAAAAGTAAACCTGCAACTAAAAAAGCAGAATTGGAAACAGATTTGAGTTTCACTCAAAGAAACTCACCAGCAGAAGAATCGGAGGAAACATGGAGGAATAAAATCCACCATATATAAAAACAAAGAACAGCCTTCATGGCAACAGGAGGATCTGATACAGGAGATCAGAACCAGGACGTTGAAACACTAAAGCACCAGCAGAACGCAACCTGAGAAGAAACCAAACAGAAATACAAGTTGAAGCATGAAGTTGTAGATTTTGTTGAATGGCTAACTAGACAAAACTAAACATTTTAAGAGCGTACCGGTCGTGTTCTGATGAAATCTGCTCACCTCAGCCAACCTGAGTCCACAATAACAAACTGGGACAAAGTCCTGCAATAAAATACAGTTCATCTTTAGTGACGTGAACGTGTCATATTATTTTTATTGTTCTGTTTCAAAACAGTCAAAAGTCCCCTTATAAAATTTTGAGTAAAATAATGTCCATCAGTTTCTTAAATAGATTTGAAAAAGTTTTCATTCATCAAAGTCGATTTTGGAAAAACAGACATTTCTTGGTTTAATTTAACTCAACTACATCTGTGACTCAAACGTTTGGCATATATGGTCTTTTTGTTTCTAAAAACTGACCTAATTTTTTATATTTTTTGTAAACCCTTCCACCACCTGCCAGTATCAGCCTGTGTAACATTAAAGTTAAAATAGGATGCAGTCAGCATAAAGCCTCATCGTGGATCAGACTTTATGCTGTTTTTACAGTTAGGGCCAGAAATATTTGGACAGTGACACAAGTTTTGTTATTTTAGCTGTTTACAAAAACATGTTCAGGAATACAATTATATATATAATATGGGCTGAAAGTGCACACTCCCAGCTGCAATATGAGAGTTTCCACATCCAAATCGGAGAAAGGGTTTAGGAATCATAGCTCTGTAATGCATAGCCTCCTCTTTTTCAAGGGACCAAAAGTAATTGGACAATGGACTCTAAGGGCTGCAATTAACTCAGAAGGCGTCTCCCTCGTTAACCTGTAATCAATTAAGTAGTTAAAAGGTCTGGGGTTGATTCCAGGTGTGTGGTTTTGCATTTGGAAGCTGTTGCTGTGACCAGACAACATGCGGTCAAAGGAACTCTCAATTGAGGTGAAGCAGAACATCCTGAGGCTGAAAAAAAAAGAAAAAATCCATCAGAGAGATAGCAGACATGCTTGGAGTAGCAAAATCAACAGTCGGGTACATTCTGAGAAAAAAGGAATTCACTGGTGAGCTTGGGAACTCAAAAAGGCCTGGGCGTCCACGGAAGACAACGGTGGTGGATGATCGCCGCATACTTTCTTTGGTGAAGAAGAACCCGTTCACAACATCAACTGAAGTCCAGAACACTCTCAGGGAAGTAGGTGTATCTGTCTCTAAGTCAACAGTAAAGAGAAGACTCCATGAAAGTAAATACAAAGGGTTCACATCTAGATGCAAACCATTCATCAATTCCAAAAATAGACAGGCCAGAGTTAAATTTGCCGAAAAACACCTCAAGAAGCCAGCCCAGTTCTGGAA